ATATATATATATATACAAAACAACAAAAACAACCATTCCCTTTCTTTAGTTTTACAATCTCCTAAACAAGTCTAAGATTGAATTACTCTGTTTTTGGACAAAGATAAAGAGTATATATTTATATAAGGTATAGATCTGTGCGTAAATGTACATAAAAATATACAAAAATGCATATAGACATACTGAATTTGTTAAGGACTGCTCATACATGTTCTGTACGTTAACATACATACAGTACAAACATACATACTTTAAGTGTGTGTGTATTAATTCCTTGGTTTTTAAAAACTCTACATTCAGTAGAGTGAAGTTTCTGATTAGTACCTCCAGATTCTCCACCGAACACAAAGGGAGAACGCCGTCATCCAACTTCATGTTCCTATCTTTGTACGAAGCTGTCCAGTTTTTCTYAGTCAACTACAGAGAGTCGCCCCTGTTCTTTGTTACGAGACAAGTTGATCAGGGCTTTTAATCCCCGATTTCGATCAGCGCCGAGGGCGGCCCGATCATTAACCCGCTGTTCCCCCTCTGGGGTCAAACAAAATCCCCTTACGCCTCCTTTAAAAACGTGGCTTTCACGACCCCTCCYGTCGCTCCAGTGCCGCTCCGTGGCCAGGCTCTCAGACGAGGGAGCCTCAGGAGGCTGAAACATTCAACAAAACTGGCCGCGCTCGTCCGGTGCAGCCGCTTCTTACCACGGTTTTTAATTTAAAAAAGAAAAAGAGGGGGCGGTTACAGTTACGCGAGCATCCCTTTCAAGTGGACTCCAGCGTGTCCAGCTGAAACACGTTGTGATTGGTCGGGGTGGTGAAGAAGAGCTGCTCGCGCTGCGGGGAGGCGGCGCGGTTGTCGCAGGGGCTGTTGAGGCCCAGCGTCCGCTCGAAGTCCAGGAGCTGGCCCATGAAGTTGAAGTTGGGGGAGATGTTGGACTTCTTGCGCTTGACGAAGTCGTAGGCGTCGTTGAGCGACAGGTTGAGCTTCTGCATCAGGTACGCCACGGTGACGGTGACGGAGCGGCTGATCCCGGCCAGACAGTGGACCAGGATGCCGCACTTTTTTGACCGCGCCTCGTCTGAGGAGGAGAAAAAAAAGAGGAGAGAGAAAACCATAGAGGATAAGATTATGTTCAAACCCACTCTGTAGGATTCAAATTATTCTAAGGGAAAATGTGCATGAAAATACAACACAAATTGTGCTTATTTTAAGCTACTGAGGTACAAAGATATTTTTTGCCCTCAAAAAATTAGGACTGTTGGACATTCTTTAAATCACCTTGAGCCCAATGTTTTGACTGTGGCCATGGCAATCAAAAGGTTGAGTATTCAAGACTTGTTCTTTTTAAGCCACAAATCCCTCACATTAAACTAAATACAGGAAGTTATTAATTTGCATTAAAATGCAATATTCTCCGAGAGACATTTAACTTTAGAGCACCACGGCTCCTAATTAATATTACTGACACTGGGGTTCTATCAAAATAACAACAACATGTCAGAAAGATAAATCTGTGGAGTCGGTTTGCAACAACAAATCAACTTAAGATGAACTGAAACTGTTTAGTTGTGAAAATTATGGTTTAAGATCCAACATTTGCTAAAAAATAAAACCCAGCTTGAGTAATTCCTGTAATCAACCTTTTATCTGCTTTAAAAAAAAGGGGAAAAAAACATGTTTTTGCTGCAGAAAAGCCAAATGTTTCTCGCCTTAAGCTTCTCAAATGCGTGAGTTACGTCTTCTGGATTTCTTTATTCTAATCATTTGTTAAGCCAAACACAAAATATGAGAGTGTTACAACTGAATTCAAATAAAATGATCTATTTGTATAGTAAAATCTATTCATATTAGCACAGAATGACTTTTCTCAATGGCAGAACGCACTGTTTCATTGCGTTTTTCAGCTTTCGGTCTGAAGCAAACTGTGAATAAAAAACACCTCCTACATTATTAAGCTGCTGCATCCAGCCACCTATCAGTTTCGAGCCCTTGCACTTGCATCCAGAGGCCATTAGAGCGAGAGTTAAGTGCTTCTTTCCTTCCTTCCTTTCATCCTCTTCTCGCTCTCTTTGCCTGCATCTCGTTGTAAAGATTGAGGTCAGCCTGCTGAGCCGTCGCCAAATTAAATTCATGCGGGACGCGTGCTCACATTTCCACAATAGAAGAAAAAGGGCTAAAAATCCTCATGAGGAGAATTTAACTAAACTCCACAAGGCTCAGAAGTCAGATAAATAAACCAGTTAAGTTAATCTGCTGGAACTGATCATTAGGCCGGAGCAATGCAACACATCAAATACACAATAATCCAACACGTATTGAGCCGTTTAGAAGCCAGATAAAACAAACTTATCTCCGACTTGTCTGTACATAAAATATATCTGGTGCTTTCAGCTCACAGTGTGTTCACATCTGTAATTATCTTCCTATAACCATAAAGATCTGGTGTAATCCCAGACTATTAAACCCAGTCAGACAGATCTGTTTAACACCAAGCATGGCCACTGGCTCTGATACATCACACTCACCCTACTTCAACAGAATCAATATGTACAAAAATAATGATCTGAAGTAAATAAGGCAGGTTCTGATACAAACTCAGAGAACATCACTCGATAGTGAATCAGGTCAGAAAAATAAATGGAAATTCAAAAATCTATTAGGGGTGCACCAATATGAAAATTTCAGCCGATATTGATATTAATATACTTATTGCCGTTATGGCCAATAACCAATATTTACCGATATTACACTAGCCTGGCCCTTGCCTTCCTACGCAACTCCGCTCAATTCTAGTTTCCCTTCACTGCTCCTCCGTCTGGGACTTCTCCCACTGAGATGGATTTCGCTGACAGATTTTTATCCGGGCCAATCAGGGAAGAGAACATCAATTTTCTGCCCAGTGTCTCTTGTAGTTTATTTAACCTGGGCCAATCAGCAAACAGAAGGAGGAGTTTTGAATGACGTAGATGTTCTGCACAGTGTCTGCTAGTTATTTTAGCATACGGCAGTGGAGGAAGTGAATGAAGCCAGTCTGTGTTGATAAGGCTTCCAAATTAAAATAAATTTGTCTGACAAAGCAGCAGCTCTCATTTACAGCCGTTTCGTTCAGCTCGGTACTTCTCTCCTCTCAGTAGGGTTGTTTACAGCACACGCGATTTCCGGTTAGCTTCTTAGCTTAGCCTCCTTCACACCGATAACACACACATACTTCAGCAGAGGCCACGCCTCCTGCAAGAAATCTTTTCTCTATGCAGCAAGTACAGACACTTGTACAAAGCAAAGTGAAGGACAGGGTCTGGTTTAAACCAGGCTAATATTGCACAAACACACAAATTACATTATACATATACGCACAAACACACTTTTTTTTGTTACCGTAAATAAACGACCAGACCTCTGACATGGCTCCCTACTTCAGTTATTCCTGGCTGCGCAGCATCAATATCACTATTATGATCAAACAGATGCTGCTCAACCAACCATCTCCCCTACCAAAACAGAAACACAAAGATAAAAAGTGGGAAATCAATATCAGACATTAATATCAGCCCAGTTCTTCATATCGGACCAAAACCAATATTAGTGCCGATATATCGTGCATCCCTACAAACTATAATAAAATCGATGCTGAAGTTGTTGCTGGGACTTTTCTCAAAACACTGAAATCTGTTTTTATTTGGATCTTAGTCTAGACGTATTTTCATAAAACTAGAAACAATTTCATGGATATTTGTTTTTATCATTCTTTAATAACCAGGGGTCAAATGGAATATTGTTGCTTTGTTAGGAGTTATAAAAAAAAATCTAGACCAAAAAAATAAAACAAACAAACAAATAAAAAACTAAACAAAAAAACCCCACGAACCTAAAGCAAATAAATAAATACCAATTTTGCCTCGACAGCACAAAATATATACTTATTTAGAGCTTTTATAATAATTTCACTTCTTCAAAACTGTGTACACATCTGAGCTGACACTGAATGTTTGGGGAAATTTGCAACAAGAGGAAATGCTGTTTTTTTTTTTTTAAAGATTAGTTCAGTAAACAATAAACAGATCAATCTGCAGTTACAAGAGCTGCTTAGCTGTCAATAGAATTTAATAAAATACTGTAACACACTCCCCTAGAGTCAACGTGTAATGCTTGTGATATGGTTTGATGAGAATACAACAGAAATAAAGTATTAAAATATGTTTTATAGACAGTCTTTGGAGTGTTTTTCTTTGAATGTGATTTTAGGAGGCTCAGGGAAACACTCAGCTTCAGTAAACGTACTTCAAGAATCCTTGAAAGAGCCTGAAGTACTGACAGTTAACAACAGGTGTTTTGGACCAAACAGTTCTAAGGACACTTTGAGGGTTATAAGACCATTAGTCCCACAAAGGGGAGCTTATAGGGACCTGTGTGTTTGCTCCACCTGGGGAGCACAGCGACTGGGGGGAAAAAATGAAATAAAATATTTGGCTTAGTGCAGCCATTTCACTGCATGTGACATTCAGCATAAGTAGTAACAATACTGTTGGACAGAGTAGTGAGTGCTACGTGTTTGATGTTTGTCTTTGGATTATTGATTACAGCTGAGTTGGATAATGTGATACAAAGGTTAGGAAGAATTAGCACTACGAAGCTCAGTCAACCTTGTGCTGCACATTTTTTAAAGGAGAACACGTCGTATGAAAAAACTACAACAAGCAAGCAGCATCTTTACTGAGCAAATAGGATCTGGAAATAATTAAGACACTTTTTTTGTTTGGGTCCACACAAGAGTTGATGAATGGTGGACAACAGTTGAATACAAGCTCAGTAAAGCCTGGACTTTAGCATCTGTTTAGTTCTCAAGGCAGTTTTACTTCCTGCGAGTGATGTAAATAACACCAACACGGTTTATAAAAAGTGGTGTGGGAGAAGAGCTTTAAACTTGCTCCGCCAATCAGCAAACACATCTCTTTACGTCACTCAGTTCCCACTGAGCAACGAAAAAAACCCTACTCTAAACCAGGAGCTAAAAACAGAGCCAATAAACGTAGTCCCGGTGGCTATGAACATTCATCTATTTTCTATACCCGCCTGTTTATGTTCAGTCACAGGAAGTTATGCCCATCTCCAGCRGTCATTGGGCTGGAGGCGGCGTGCACCCTGGACAGGTCACCGCTCCATCACAAGGCCACAAAAAGTCGAACAACCATTCATGCTCCCACTCATACCCATCTAAAAGATAAAAGGGTTGTGGTTCTTTTTTCTAATCTATGATGTACTGCTGAGATATACTGAGTTGGGATTGACTTCAGACCCTCACATATGCTCTTTAGTACAAAAAAAGGATCTTTTTCCAATGGTCCTTTTGATTCCTCTGATGTGTACCTATAAATTTGATTTACAGTAACAACCAAACATTGGTATCCACCTATTTTAGAATAAATAAATTAATGTCAGGTTTTTATCTAATGTGAACCAACAGTTAAAAATCGAAGGTAATTCCACCTTAACTTACCAATAAATGAAATGGCCTCAGGGAAAAACTGTGAGAGGTTCTGGCTCCAGTGATCAGAGATGGGGATCTGTTTGTACTTGAAGTCTCCCTCGTGTTCGAACATGTTTGGCAGGTTGGGCGTGACGTTGAGGATGTACTTGATGTTGTACTTGCTGAGCACATCCAGGTTCGCAGAGTCTTTGGCACAGCCCAGGTACAGGTACGGCAGGATCTGGACGGGGAACGCTGGCTGGTTGTTGGGGAGCGGGCTGCCTTCCGACTCAGTGGCGCTGCCCGGCTCGCGGTCAGACTCGCCATCCGAGCAGTCGGAGCTGATGCGGAGCCCTCCCAGTCCGAGGACGGAGGCTGGTGGGGAGCTGCTGGGACACGAGCAGTCCAGATTGGTCTCGCAGTGATCAGGATACTCAGACTGGAACTTGCTGAAACCTCCTAGAGGACAAGTAAAAACAAAAACAATCTCACTGGATGATATTAAAAACATCCATCCATTTTCTTATTTTCTCTAACCACTTCTCTGAAAATATCTGCAGGGAGCTGGTGAAAGTGTCCAACAGTCACTTTGCAAGAGGCAGGGTACACCTTACAGGTCGCAAGTCCATCACTGGACCACACAGAGGTGTGGTTTCCAAAGTTTAGGTTAGGTCCCGAACAAGTCATAAAATACCAAATGATGCCCATCTTAAATGCTTTAAAATGACAGGTTGGGAATTTCAGTATTGTATTTGAAAAAGGGAATCCCCAAGTTTCACAATGACGCCAAACATTACAGGAAGGAATTCCCTAGAACTACAAAGACAAATGATATATTATAACCTAAAACTATTATAAAAACAATTACTTTTGAAAAATAATATATATATATATAAACTTCTAACAAGTGTATATACACACACTTGTTAGAGATTTTCAATTCAAAAGATTATTTTCTATTTTTGTTGCTAGGATAATTAAATGGCGTCTTTATGGATTCCTTTTTAAGCAAATATCAATTTCGGCAAAAATCAGTATTTTAGAAGAAAACATGACGTCACACGGCATGTTGTGTTTACAAAAGTAAATATGGATGCTACACGTGTTAGCATGTATTCATTATAAAGCTATTGCACAATCGGAGCAAACTGAATTATTATCTGCTATACTTGTACTCATTGTTTATGTTTTATCGTCCCGCTTTCTGCCTCATTGGGTGGGTGCTGAATTGTACTTCTGGAGTGGGAGCGACTGAAAGTACAGAGGAAACAAACCCAAGTATCAACTGCATAGTATCGACATGTTTGCATAGCATAGTTGGTAGGGATGGACGATATGTTGGCACTAATATCGGTATCGGCTGATATTTGTCATTTTTTAGAATATCGTATCGGTCCGATATGTAAAACTGGGCCGATATTAACGTCCGATATTGATTTCCCACTTTTTATCTTTGTGTTTCTGTTTCTGGAGGGGAGATGGTTGGTTGAGCAGCATCTTTTTGATTAGTGATAGTGACGCTGCGCAGCCAGGAATAACTGAAGTAGGGAGCCATGTCAGAGGTCTGGTCATTTATTTATGKTAAAAAAAAGACAAGTGTGTTTGTCCATATATAGTAAAATTTGTGTGTTTGTGCAATATTGGTAAATATCAACCATAACAGCAATAATTATATCGAATAACGATTTTGGCTGAAATTTTCATATCAGAGCATCCCTCATGGTTGGTATTATGTGATGGTGCAAATTAGGGTTAGGCATAATCGTATTGTGTGCAATTAATCGTCAGAAAAACATTAATCGATTACTTTTTGACACTTGATGATTAATACGATTAATGCCACCAGGCAGAGTCCGCTCGGTGCTTCTCTCTGCTTCAAATATGATGAACATAAAAAAGTTATGTAATTTTTTTTATCGATCAACACAATTTAAATTTGATATATAGCCTGAAGTCTGTAATTATGATATAGTTTGGAACAGATTTTTATGAAGAGCAAATCTTTCCCACTAAATTGGTCATGTGACCAGGACATAAGGGTGCCCAGGGACTCCAGGGGAGTAATCGTCAAATTAATCGTTATCGGCTGAATACCACAATTAATCGTGATATTATTTTTTTGCCAATATTGCCCAACCCTAGTGTAAATTCTCAATCATCCTTCCTACACAGGACAAAACTAGAAAGCTTTCTAAAAGACAACGCAACTGGACTCTGTACCTGAGGATGCTTAGAGTTTTAAGCTTTAAACTTGCCTGATGTTTGTATCGATGCTATCAATATCTGGATCATTCATATCATTGGGAGGAAACAGGAAGAACATGCAAACAACTCAAAGGGTTGCAACCTGGTTTCAAACCTGCAACCTTCTAACTGTGAGGCAACCTAACCACCCAAAAGCTATTTAGTCTGAGTTAATTATATTTTCTATTCTCAACAATATAAGCCATAAAGGCTTCTCACTTTCACTATAAAACAAACACATTAAACTTTTTATACATCATAATATAAAAGTAAATGAATCTGGGGTGGAATGAACTAAAAAAGACGCACATTAGAGCACGCTGATTAGGCAGATTAAAGGGTAAAAAGCGGGTGATTTGCGTCAGGATGAGCATGAAAACAGGCAGGTCAGAGTGGCTCCATTGAGAAAAGCCAGCAGCTCGGCTCCGACACGGCTCCAGCTCTGAGGACTTTTTGTGAATGGCTGCTGAAGGCTCGTGACTTCGGTCAAACAAATCTATTTTCCACGGCTCATACACTCTTATCTGCTGTTACTGACCAACCCCAAACACGACCTGCCGGTTGTTTTCCTCATAAAAAAAACACGTTTTGTCTTCGTGTTGTTTAAAACTGGTCGTCGTGTCCTCCCGTCTCTGTGTTCATTCATGAAAAAAACCGTGTCTTTTTCCTGAAGGAGYACAACATGGCGGGCTGTTTCAGCTACATTTTAATGAAAAAGTATTTGATTTGGCCTTAGTTTGATATGGAGTTTAGCTCGCTGATTGCCGTGTTTTTTTTTTTTTTGTCATGTTTTGTCAAACATCTGTCGAACATCGAAGCTGAAAAAGCTAAATGTTTTAAAAAAGAGACATCAGTACTAGTTTGTAGTTAAATCATAGGTTCTTGAAAACAAGTAGAGTCCAAATGTAAACATAAGTCCATATATATTTTATATTTAAGTTATAATAAATCTTATTTTTTATTTGAGGTGACATACTTTGTTTTAAAATGGCGAATTTATCAAGTCCGGCTTCACGTCGGTTTGGAGTAAGGTTTATTTTATTGACACACATATTTAAACCTTTAACACCGCCTTCCTGGGAGCTTTACCTTCCAAAAAGAAAGCCTTGCACCCGTCGTCCCGGAGCTTGTGGAGGAGCAGCCCCATCACGGAGCTCCCCAGCCCGGACTCCTGTCGCTCCGACGTCGCCTCGTCGTACAGCAGAACCACGTCCGTCTTGCACCTCTTGACGAACTTCTCCTTGTCCTCGTTGTTGGGGATGATGGAGCGGATCGGGAGGTTGCCCTTCTTCAGTCGCCGCAGCATGAGGCCCGGGATGGCCAGGTTGATGGCCGACTCGATGTGCGACGACTCGTACAGCTCGTGGGGTCTGCAGTCCAGCAGCAGCAGCGAGCTGGACCCGGACTCCAGCTCGTCCTGCAGCCACTCCACGCTCTTACTCGACATCATCGTCGTTACAGTCACGATCACGGAGCCTCTGCACGGGTGATTAATTCTCATCAGGGAACCGTTAATCCGCCCGTCCCTCGTTGTGACATGACAACAAC